CCCCTTGTTTGGACATTCCTTAAGCTTAATTACGAAAGTGGATCCTTTAAAAACAAAACCCAAAAAACCTGAAGGCAGCAGCTTAGGGCAGCTCTCTCTGACCCTCTGCCCCCACCCTGTCCACGCGCAGGGAAAGATCTGGATGGAGCTTTGTTGCTTCACCTCCAATGGCAGATTTGGGGAGTCCAAGCCTCCGAGTTCTGGACACATCAAAGCAGTGATTATGCAAATGCTTCCCCCCCCCCCTTTTCTCCCTTAAGTGTAAAAGAAAATGGAAGGGGAATTATTTATCACACAATGAGCCCCCTGCCCGGGCTGGAAACAATAGATCAGACCAGATAGCCCTTCTAGCCCGAGGCTTGGGGGAGCGCGAAGGGGCTGGCGGAGCCCTCACGTTTTATTGGTCTAACCTAATTTCACTAATTCTCTTTTCACACGTTTTCTTTTGCTGATTCGGAGGCCTGGGCCTGATTCAAGGGCCGCGGCTTTATTGAATTAATACATTCAAAGCGGGCCTGGGAGCCCGGCGCCAGGGGGTGGGAGAGGCCGAGTCCCGGCTGCAGGAGGAGCCGCTTGTAACGGGTTCCAGGTGTCGGTGCCCAGAAGTCACAAGCGGCCCGCCCGAGGCGGTGGGGTGCGGGGCGAGGAGGGTGCCCCGCGGGCGGCCGCGGCTGCAGCCCCCGGTGGGCCCACGTGCTGCCTGCAGGGCCTTCGCACCCTCAGCACCACGACCTCCCGGGCCCTCGCCTCCGTCACGGGGACTCGGGGCTCGGCTCCCGGGTGCGCCCGTCCAGGCCTGGCCAGGGGCGGCGGGGCCCAACCGGCCTCCACGGTTCCTCCAGCTCCCGCGAGCCTGAAGAGAGCTGCCCGCCCCTCCACGTATCCTTTCCTCTTTCTTGGCCTAAGGATGGATTGATTTAAAATCTGGTGCGGGAACCCTGAGATTCCAAGAGGCCTGGGCGCTCAGAAGAAAGGAACCCAGCCAAGCCGGGAACGCAGCGGCTCTCCAAGGAACAGCTCCGAGGCTTCCAGGAACCAGCCCCAGCGCCAACCCTCGCAGCGCACCCCCTGCCGCTGGAAAGATCTGGCAACACTCCCTTCCTTCAGGGACTGACTGGGTTCCCCGGAAAAGACTCGCCATCGCTTTATCTGGGATACTTGGCAGGGTGAGGCTCAGTGGCCTTGAAGCCCCCTGGATGACCCTGGCCTGTCTCAGCTCCTTCACGCTGAGTGGAAGGAAATAAGGGAAGAGAAAAGCGACCTTTATTCCCGCTGCTGAAGCAGTGCCTCCGACCCTGAATCCTACTAATCCCTACAGGCTAGAGATGGAGGGGGGTTGAGGGGGGGGGTGTCTTGCTGCCAGTTGGCCAGAGCCGTTCTCAGAGGTAAGGGAGGCGGCAAGAACATCATTGTTTTAAACCGCTGAAGACCATTCCCACTCAACTCCACTCTAGACCCCACTCTAGACGACAGAGCAGGCGACCTCATAAGGTTTCTAAGGCCGTAACTCTTTACAGAAGCGACTGTCGCCTTTTTCTCCCCCCTGGAGACCGGCTAGCTGGTGGACCCCAACTGCTGAGCTCTTAGTTAGCAGTGCAACGCTTAAACCACTACGCTAACAGGGTTCCTAGAGATCAAAGCCCATTACCCACCGCCCTCAGCTCAATTCCTACCCTCAGCTCAGCGCGCTACCGCAGGGCAGAGGAGAACTGCTGCCCAGGGTTTCTTAGGGGTATAATACTTTTAGGGAAGAGCAGGCATCATCCTTCTCCTACAGAGCGGCTGGTGGGTTGGAACCGCCAGTCTCTAGCCTACGGCTTAACCCACTGCACCACTGAGCAGCAATTTCCCGTAACACAAAGTCTGCACTACATGGAAAACTCTGGAAGACAGCTGGAATTCCTGGCACGAAGGGCAAGCTGCTAATGTGTGGGAACTGGAAACGTAGGGGCCAGGTCGTGCAAATTTGAAGGGTGCTCTCAAAAAAAACCCTCAACTGCCAAGAGTCCACTCACAGTGCGCAGGGTCTCCAGGACTAACTGGTTATGGAAGTAAAAAGTCCCACCCCGCAAAGCAGCTGCTGATTTGGAACTGCTGACCTTGTGTCAGCAGCCAAGCGTGAGCCACCAGGGTTCCTTTCCAAGGGTCTCTAGGCCTGGAGAAAGTGTTCAGAGGTCGCTGCTAGATTCTGTTGTGTCATTGGCTGCTTTGCCCTTACTTACAACTATTCTTATTGGCCCACTTCCACATCCATGCCTTTCCCACTGCTCCTGTTCCTAAACAGCTGAGGAGGTTTGCCTTAGTCTCTGAGGAGCACTGAACTGCCTACCTCCACAGATGTGTGCCATGAGTTTTTTCTTTGGCAAGTTCTCAAAGGAAGCACCATATACAGTATTGTCATGGGCATCGCTAGCCCCAGAGGAAGCATTACTGGGCCTCAGAACTGATGGTTTAAAACTCTCACATTGGGTATGGCTTTTTAAGTAGATGTGAACATAAGAGAAATACCATTTTCCTCATGTATCACATTACCAAAAAGTAACTGAGTAATGAAGAATAGCACAATATATAAAACAGAGGGGATTTTTCCACAGGTCTTTCTTCCCACCAGCTACGAATACTGAACACAAACCTTTGTTAGGTCTTCTGTTGGCAAAAGTGAAATTTCTGGTGAATTAAACTTAATGTTTCCCCCAAAAGATGAGGAGAATGAATTCAGATCAGTAACGCAGGAAAAATTATCACTGATTTTTGCAAAGCAGAAGATTTGCCTGAAACCAGAGTTGTTGGTGTGTTGGTGTGTTTGTGTGAGTGTGTACAGCCATAACTTCGTAGATAACACATTGTATTTTCTACTCTGTATTGCAATGAGCACCTCCCCAAGTACTTAAACCTAGAATGTGTTCAATCTTCACTTAACCATCTTTGACCCAAGACCAGTCTGTTTTGGAGAACTGTAAATTATAAAGCGTCTCAGAAATTAAGAAACCATTTTTGCTTCCTCTTTAAAGAAGTTTTGAGTATGGAATTACTTAACAAAGTCTGGAATGCTGACTTATCTCTTTCAGAATCTTATTCATTCCAGTGCACCCTGGATATCTTGTTTTTTATGGGAGTCTGCTTTTCAAACTCACTAACTTGCTCTCCCAAATCAGCTTCCCAATAATGAATTTATTCATGACTTAATTATAGGTTTTAGAGCTAGGAGGGATCTTAGAAATTAACTCTCATCTGTTCAGTTTATAGCTGAAGACATTAAAGCCCAAAGAAGTTTACTGCAAGACCAGATTTCTACATACTCCACCCAGACAATATCACTAGACCGATGGGGTGGGGTGGGAAAGGGGAGTGTGTGTGTGTGTGTGTGCAGACTGCACTGTTTAGCACTGTCAGAGGAAGTGACACTAAATTGGCTGACTATACAATTTGTGTGCAGTGTTTCAGCAACTATATATATTATTCTTATAAAATATCCCTATAGTTAGTTGTAACAAAATACGTTTCCTAAGTCCGGCTTACATATATCAACATATACAGGTGCTTCATAAAAAAACTTTTAGGAAAAAATTGAGTTAAAAGATAATGGAATTTTTCCATGAATTTTCTGAAGCCCCTTGGAATATCTACAAAGGAGCTCTTGTGGTGTGGTGGTTATGTGCTGGGTTGCTAACATCAAGGTCAGCAGTTCAAAACCACCAGCTGCTCCCCTGGAGAAAGATGGGTTTTTCCACTCCTGTTGTCTCAGAAACCCACCAGGGCAGTTAACTCCAGTCATATAGGGTCGCTCTGACTCAGAATTGATTCAATGGCAATTTGGTTTGAGTTTTGTATTACAAGACTAAAACTCTATGTTAATTTACTTTTTGAACTTTCTAATGCATTCGGGTCAGAGCTGTCATTGTCCAATTACAATGCCCCTTTGAATCACGTGGTTTTCCCCCGTCACCATCTCTAGCACACAAGCACTGCTGTTCTCCTTCCGGCTGGTGTTTTTAAGTTCTCTGATTCTGTCAAACATTCTGGCACTCTGGGTATAGTATTGTGGTAAATAGTATTTGTCAACCTATATGAATAACATTTTGAAGTAATAACTAAAGGTAACCAAGGAGAACCATTTTCTCAAGTTTCTGCTCAGTTATTAATAACGAAATTCAATGCAGAAAGGTTTTATCTAACACTTTTGTTGTTAACATTCTTATGTTCTAAGAAATGTTACATTTAAGAAGCTTACAACTATTTATCACTGATTATTATATTATTAAGATTGATTACAGACATGTTAAGAATTCTGTATGGTCTTGTACAGGCGGCAGCCCATAACACCGTAAATTATCACACTGGGTAACACTAACCCTAGTGACACCACTGCTTTAGGAAGCTTTAATGCTTTTTAAAAATCAGTGGTTTCTGGATTTTAGAGCTTATCGTGACTTAGTTGTCATGTCTTCCTTTTTTTTTTTTTTTGGTTCATTCTGTTTGCTCTGAAATGGTTTTCTTCCAAATTTAGGTTTGTATTGAGAATTACACTCTTCCTTCAGAGTTAAAGTCTCAAATGTGATTCAGCTTCTTGTAATTTCCTAGATTTTGTGTGCCAATAAAGTCCTACCCACAAACACTGCTAAAACGTACAGGCTTGCTGTGAGTCAGAGTGGACTCGATGTGGTGGGCATTCTTATATTCGATTAGACCTGGGGCGAATTTCAGAAAAGCACGAGTTCTCCTTCTAAAACATATAGAAACAGGAAGAAGTTATATCACACACGATGGTTATGAAAATTAGATACTTTATTTATAGTTTAAGCACGAGAACAGTCTTCTCTTCTTCAAGATGTAAATACATACTAGAATAGACTCTGTGGAATATACAAAAAATACATACTTTTCCCATGAAATTTTTCTTTATAATAAATAGAAGGGAACACGTGTGTGACTGATCCCGATAATGCTCCGTGTCTGCTTAGGTTTTCAGTCTGTTGATTTATTTTTAATCTCTTGAAAGAATGGGGGAGTTCCTTCTCCCCCTAAAAGGTCGAGATAAATAATGCATGAGGCAATCCTCCCTCCCGATTTTCCCCTTTTCCTTCGCATTTTTTCTTTTGATAGAGAGTTCAGCCTAAATTTCCACGCTTGCATTCAATCATTACAAAAGCCTACAAATTATACAATGACTTCTAACCTGGCCCTCTAACAAAACAACTTTCCCCCCCTTATAAATCATAAGAGACAGATGGCAAAATGGGGAAGAAAAAGGAAAGAGAAGGGCGAGACAATAGGCATTGTGACGAATCTGGGAAAGAGAACGAACAAAGTGCACATCAGAGAGGGAAAGTTTGGTTTGACAGGTGAAATTCCCACAGCTTGCAGACAGCAATGGGAATAAAGCAGATGCCAGCCATTGCAAATCTGTGGATAATATTATTACCAGTAAAATCATTCAGATGCTAAGATACATTTCTTTCTACTCGACATTAACATCTCTATGTAGAAGCGAACGTGAGGGGATCACAGGAACCAGTTGCATACCCCACCCCCACCGTGATTCACACGAACCGCTGAGTCCTGTGCGGTTACAGTGAGAAGGGAGGGGCGTCCGTTCCTCCCTGCCAGCCCTGCGCTACCTCCCGACATCTTTCGAACCTCCAGAAGCGCACCCCAAACTCCACGATCCTCTTTGATAATGAGCTTCCTTGCAGCTTCACTCAGAGACCTTCTCAATAAAGGGACCCCAGAGCCAAGAATGCAACCCAAACCCACAGGAATCAGAAGGGCTACCTCAGCTTTGTGAAGAAGGGAGACGGGGATCGGGGCGTGGAAAGTGTGTGTGTGGGTGGGGTGGGGGTGCTGACGGGCCGGGTGAGAGGTGGGTTCGGTAGGAGCCCGAAAAGACCGCCCACTAAGGCCTGCGTGGGTATGCGAGCTGGCCGCTCTAGATGCAATCCCTGGCTACCGGGAGCAGAGGTGCGTAACGATGCTTGTCTGGCCGTGGGGGGTGCCAATAGTCCAGGTCGGAGCCCGCGGGGCTGGCGGGCGATAAAGTGCAGCTGTAAGGGGAGGTGGAGTTGGAGGACGCGGCAGAGGATGGCGCGGGGCTGTTACTGCAACTCCACGTGGAGGCGGGCGAAGGGCTGTCCCCACAGCTGCTCAGGGCGGCGCCAGCGCCTCCCGGGCTCAGCAACACTGCCTCCGAGAAGAGCGCGCCCGGCAGGACCCCGCCGCAGCCACCGCCGCCGCCGCCGCCGCAGTGGTCGGCCAGGCGGAGGGTCTCGGTGAGCGCCCAGATGTAGTTATGGGCGAAGCGTAAGGTCTCGATCTTGGTGAGCTTGGCGTCCTCGGGGAACGTGGGGAGCACCTCGCGCAGCGCATCCAACGCCGCGTTGAGGTTGTGCATGCGGTTGCGCTCGCGGTTGTTGGCCTTCAGCCTGCGGGTCTTCTTGATGCGCTGCACGGTCTCCGCCGTCTTCACGCCGCGAGAGACGGCCCGGGCCCGGGACGGTCGCCGCTTGCACTCGTGGGCCAGGCCCAGCAGTCGCGCCGGCCGGCCGATCTCGCCACCCGCTACCGAGCCGCCTCGCGCTCCCGGGGCGGCCCCA